TTATATTTTCCCCTCACTTTTGGCATGTCTTTCAGGTTGGCCAAGTAAAAACTTATTTTCTAGGCAGTCAGTCAATCTGCCTTCCAAATTTTAATATACTTTGAAAATGTGTAATGTTTGGATTGCAAACACTGCTGGACAATATTTAACGATTTAAAATGGTTTAAAGTTAAAATGTGTCATTTCTCTTAGGTTTTGTTTTTAAGCCACCTCTTCTCCCCCAAGCTCTTATCGATGTTCTCTGAGACCCTTTCCCACAGTCTTGAAGTATGATTTTTAAACTGACAGCTTCCCCCCACCCCAAGAAAATCCCTTTGAAACAAATTATGCTTATAAATGAAATGAATTACATTGGAATAAATTAAGTTAGCTTTTAAATACACTAATAGACACTCAAGACTTCTGCTTGAAAAAATTCTTATAGCGTTTACAAAATATGTAATTTTGTGCAAAGTAGTCCTTTACAATACAGATGTGAGACAAGGAGCTGCAAAAGTAGGGATTTTTCATAAAAAGGCACCTAATGAGAAATAGTTTTAATAGACTGAATGCTTCTAATTAATATATATATATATATATATATATATATATATATAGCTTGAAAACAAGTTGCCATAGTAATAAGTTTCCTTCAGCTTAATGTTCCTACAGTATTGACTAAAAATGTAAAATTCAGGAGCAAATATTTTCATTTAACTAGCACTGAAGTAAAATTTATGTGGCTTGCTTAGCAAATCTTCAACCTGTTTGTATTAATACTTGTGTTGCAAGAACGACAATTAGATCTGATATGCAATAAAATGTGGTTTGTCCAATAATTGTGCTTTCAGAAAGCACAACTGTAAAAATGTACAAAGTTTCTATTACTCATACTGCACAGAACGTACGTTCACAGTTATACCGTCACTAAATCCACATTTATATAAGCTCAGTATTAGGATACATATTCTGCTACATTACATGAAGCCAACTCCATTCTCCAGCCAATATAAATCATTGCAGCGGAGTTGCTTGTGCTCTTACACCTTTTTGCTCTGGCAGGAACATTTCAAATACAAAACCCTTACCAGCTCTGACACAATGTTCCCAAATTACACAAGTAGTTGGAGGATACTCTGCCATCTAAAAGTTATAGTATATGCCCTCCAAAACAAAAACTCTACCGCAGTCAGAACAATTGACATTGTGTTTCGAAGTACTGGTTTTGATACACTGCTACTTCTAAATGGCTTCCCCAAAAAAGTTATATTTTCAACAGTTTGTATAGCATTTGTTTGAAGTGTGGTTAAGTGTTCCAGGAGCAGCAGTCAAACCTTAAGTTGTATTTATGTATATTTTCTTTCTTCACATTGACCCTTGCCAACATTGCTCAATGCCCCTCCCCTTTTGAGACTATACAAAAAGTTACTCCCCCCCTCCCACCCTTTCACAACTACTCACTGAAGCCTCTTCTACTGCTGAAAGCAAGTAAAGCAAAGCCCATGCTGGGTGTCTGTCTCCTAGAGAAGATTGCATCTTTTATTTATCGCCCCTTGGCTTTATTTTCACAGTGAATTCCTGGCTTAAATGTAATCAGCCAAGAAACCCTCCCTATGTGCACTCCTGTCATTCCTCATCGCCTGCAAGCAGAATCAAGCACAGGCAAGAGAAAAAAAAATTCTCAGCACTGCCATCCAAACCAAAATGAAACTGAATTCTGGTTTTGCCACAAGTGCGGAACCATAGATGTCCTTCAGTCCTCTGGAAAGAAACAGAAAGCCAAAAGGAAGATGAAACTTAAATTTTTTTTAAAAATGTCTCAACGCTGAACCACTCTCTAGGAAGGGAGGAAGGGCACCGAGCATAGAGAAAAAGCAACAGAGTCTGCCTTTGGAAAATACATGACCAGGCAGAAGTCACATTTGTAGACTGTATTTGAATTCAAATGAACCACAGACAGGATTAAAACAACTGAATTCTCTCCAAGGATGGCAGTGAGGCAAAATTACATGAGAACCAAAATTACGCAAAAGATCTTAAAAAAAAAAATCTATCGGGCCTTTGGGCCCAGAAACTTCACACCCTCAAATCTGTAAAAACAAGGCATAAATAAAAGGAAAAACTGATCCATTTTTGTTTTAAGTGCTTTGGAAGGAGGGGGAGAGAAGAGAGAGTTGTGAACTATCCTGCTGTTGGTTTCAGTCCATTTAAAAATATCATCATGTCCATGCTCAAAAACTGATAGCTTGACAGGGAAGAGAAAAGCTCAGACTTAAACTGCATATTGGGGAAGATTATGCAAGTCTGTTTGAGGGAAAATGGAATCGTGCAGCTTTAAGTCATCAGTCCTTCTTTCCCTTTGTCAAATCTTCACTATTTTTCAGGCAGTGAAAAGAAATAAAGAGCCTCTTTTGTTTGGCTTCCCCTTTTCGGAGGCTGGCAGAAAACTGAAAAGGACACAAATAAACATGAAAATGAGAACAAAGTGCCAGGTCTTCCTCCTCCTTCTCCACCACAGGGAATTGCCTCACGGCGATTCGAGATGTGCAACTGGCAAATACACTCAGCTAAACACAACAAAACGAGAGCTCCAGCTCCAGCACAAGAGAACCTCACCCTGCACTGAAGTTTTATTCGGGAAATTATAACCCATCTTCCCGTTCTGTCACACAGCAGTGGAGCCTGGATTGCTAGGTCTGTAAAGCCTCCCCCACCACCATCACAAACCAGGGGGTGGTTCATCCTCTCCCCATCAGAGCAAGCCAGGCAGCGCAGGAGAGATGGGAAATCTACAGCCTTCCCTTGTCGTGTCCAAGACCCACAGGAAAATGTGAGCCTGCCATGTAGCTGCTCCAGCACTCTTATTGATGGGACTAACCCCTCCCTCCCAGCACAGAGCTCCTCTTCCTCCTCCCTTCAGGGGGAGGAAGGGACACCCCCCCCCCCCGCAGCCTTTTAAACTAACTAGGAAGGGAGGAGTTAAATAGAAAAAGATCTATCTCTTGGAGAGGGTGAAGAGCAGCAGCAGGCGGCAGCAGCGGGGGTGGGGGTTGTGTGTGTGGGGGGTGAGTATTGTTCCCGGAGAAGCAAGAACAGCACTTCCCTCTTTTGCTGTTGTCATGAAACGAGGAACAGCTACATCCCAAAGCAACTGGCAGCACCCCATGTACCGCCGCCTCCATACACAGCAGCTCCCCCTCCTCCCAGCCATCGCTCAGTCCCCCCCCAGTCCTGGCAGCCCGAGTTGGATCCGCTATCTGGCAGCTTTGCTCTCCAGCCACCCCCCATCCCGCAAAGCCAACCGTGGGGTGATTCAAAGGCAGCCCCAGGCTTCGGCTGCAGTGTCTGCCGCAGCTGCCGACCCGCCCGAGCGTCGCTGCCGCTGATCCCCTACAAGTGCCTTTGTTCAGCGACCCGAATCGCTCCGCGCAAATTCGCTCCTGGCGTTTGTAGGTAACAGATCCCTGCCCCTCCCTCCCCCCACGGGGGCTTCTTCTGCTGATTCATTTCCTCGCCCGCCCCGGTCTGCGGGGCAGAGGCGGCGGCGGGTTTGGCATCTCCTCTATTGTGGCCCAGGGTATGACGATGACCCGGATTAGCGGGGGTGGGAGGGGACACAGCGAGGTGGGACTGCACGGCCGGGTTTACGGGGGGAGTGGGGACTGGCGGGGGGAGGAGTGTGAAGCGAGTTAAAGGGACGGGACGGGAAGCGTTTGATTAGCCGGGGGTGGAGAGCAAACAGGCGTGATGTGGGGTGTGTGAGGGGGGGAGAGGGCAGATTGAAGGGCAGTTGGTAGGCGGACAGAAGCAGCGTGTAACCTGGCCTTGGATGCCGAGGAGAGGCGTGAAAGAGCCATATAATCTGGCTGCGAGGGGGAGGGGACGAAGAGAGGAAATTACGAGGCCTGGATGGCTGGCTGGAAGCGAAGGAGGGGGGGTCGGGGGGGTCGCTGGGGCACTGAGGGAGCGGAGAGCTGCAGGGCCCGGGCTACGGGGCAGGGTAGCGCTGGGGGGGTGGAGGCGGCAGCTGCCGAGGTGAGGTGAGAGGAGGAGAGCAGAGGTGAGGGGCTGGCCGCGGGGTCAGGGAGCTGGGCGAGGGTCGGAGCGGCGCTGTGGCCTGGGCAGGGATCACAGGTGGGTGACAGGCTGGCGAGCGGCCCGGAGAGCCCCCCGGGCAGGATTACAGCGGTGCGGGAGAGGGGCCGCAGCCCGGGGGGCGGCGGGGGGGGGGGGGCGAGGCTCCGGATGGCCGGCCCGGCTCGTGACTCACCGACTTGCAGGACGTTATCGACGCAGCCGCCGTCGAGCAAAGCGATGCCCCTACGGAAGGGCAGGCGGTTCTCGTCGGCGGCGGCGTCCGCGGCCCCGCCGGGCGCGGTGCTGGCAGCGGCCCCCCCGGGGGCGGCGGGGTCCTCGGCGCCGGTGTTGAAGGAGGAGTACATGCAGATCTCCCTCTCGCTGCGGGGGAAAGACCAGTACACGATCCTGCGCTGCACCGGCTCCGGGATCCGCTCGAACCGCTCCTCCACCCGCTGGAAGGGCCACTTCTCCGCCACCTTGCGAGCCGCGATGTCCAGCAGGGATTCGGGGCTCTGAGTCTTGCCGAGCGGCAGCAGCCCCAGGGCGGCAGCGGCGGCGGCCGCGGAGGAGGGTCCGGCACAGAGCGCCCCGCTGCCGGGGCCGCCGCCGCCCGCCCGCTGGCCCGGCCTGCACCCCGAGCCGTAGCCAGGTCTGCAGCAGAGGCGCTTAGCGGGGGGAGGGAGCTGACCGCGCTCCGCCATGATCGCGCCGCTTCTAAGCAGACAGCGGAAGTGGCTGTACCCTATAAACGGCACCAGGAAGAGAGCGACCGACAGCCGGAATAGCGGCCCCGCCCATCGCCGCCATGTATGGGCAAGGGGGCGGTGCCTGCTGCCTCGCCCACGGCATGGGGCGGGGCTATGCAAATCAGCGCCTACAAACATAAATAGAACGGCCCCGGCGCTGCAGCCGTGTGCTAGTCTAACTAGCAGTGGGGGTGGGGACCGCAGCCGGGGCGGGGCTTGTTATTCTGAAAGAGGGCGGAGCCTCCTCTGGCGATGTCATATACTCGCAAGCCTGGGCACGCCCTTCAGGGCTGCGCGTGGTGGGAAAAGGGGGTGGGGCAGGCGCCACCGCCTTGGTGACACCATCTAGGGAATGGAATGTGGGGGCGGGGCCGTGGCGGCCTCAACCCGGTCACCACTGCTGGGAAAGCCGAAGGGAGCGGGAAGGAGGGAGGAGTGGTACTAAGCGCAGCAGAGAAATACGGTAATGAAAACGAAGCTGTCGCTGGGCTTCTCTGCGCGTACCCCAGCTCGGTTCCCAGCGGTGGTAGCAGCCCGCCGGCATAGCTCCTACTCGCCTGCCCGGTGCGTGGCAGCCAGCTCCGCTCGCCCGCCCGCAGCAGAGCAAGGGCAGCCTCAGTGCTGGTAAGTGCAGGGGTCCCGGGTCCCGCCGCGCGTGCGGACCCGCCAGCCGGAGGCCCCGGGGCTGGACGCCACGTGCCGTATGGGCGGCGGAGGCGCTAGGGCAGCGGGTGCGTCCCGCGCTGGGTCCGCCTGCCCAGTCTGGCTCGGGTTTGTCCCGCACGGAGCAGCGCGTCCCTGTCCGGCAGCCGAGCTCGGGTCGGTGCTGGGGCAGCGAGCCCGGCGCTAGCGCTGCCCTGCAGACACCACGTCCGAGTTGCGGCTGGGCAGAGCCAGGGCGGGCTGAGGGGCGCTCCCCTGGTGGGAAGAGGTCCGCCGAGTGACTCTTCCTGTCCGCCGGTTACTCTGCGCACCGGATGGGACTCGATGTGGAGTCACGGGGGGGGCGGGAATACAACTGGAACCAAAGCCAGGTCGCGCTAGGCACAGGCTGCTCCGTCAGCACGGAGGCTGAACAATCCCGATTGTACGCGGCTGAGGGTGGCTGCTGGCTGTGCTCCCCGAGCGCCGGAGCATGAAGCCAGAGCACGAGTGCTAATTACGCGATGCGCAGCAAATCCCAGCCTGAGGCAGAGTCCTGGACTTAATTACCTTGCTTGAGACGGCGCTGTGCTTTGCCCCGGCTTCCTCGCTGCAGCTCGCGTTCTTACTCCTGTAGAAAGCACTAGACTGAACCGTGTGTTGTGACACTTCGTACTCCCTGTGAGCGCCTTGTCTCCCCTCCCCACTTCTAGCCTGCGCTGGGACTGCAGGGCCGCTCTTAATTCGGTCTCTGCGTGGTGGCCAGGTTATGAGACTTCCGAGGCTACCTTATGTTATGGTTTAAAAGCTACACGCATAAGCAGACAAACGGGACCAGAACGTGCTGGCCTGGTTGGAAAACCAAGTTTTAGGCCTGTTCCAAGGTTTCCCATTTATTAGGAAAATTGTGGTAACAGGCTGCTTGTGGGTCAGTTCCTTCGGTGTTCCTCAGTCTTGAGGGCCAAAGCACAGAGGCAGCACACGTACAAGAAGGGGAGGGGAAACGCTCTAAATCAGAGAAAATAACTTTTGAAAACAAGCCTAATTTTTAAAAGGCCTGTATTGTGCCTTGTAAAATCTTACCTGACCTTCCTCCCTTCTCTTTGGGGGAGAGAGGGCATAAGGCTACTCCTAGCTGCCTAATATTTGTCCCTTCTGTCACTTACTAGTGTTACTGTTGTGTGGGTATAAATGCACAAACTAAACATAGAAGAGACTTGAATGGAAAAGCCTCTCTTTTTTCCCAAAACAAAATTTGTTACCTACAGAATGTTCTCCTTAAAACCACTAATAAGGACAGGAAATGAATATTGCAAATACAAACATAAGTGACCTACCTCCTATCAGTCACTCCTAAAATAGCTGTTCCCCATGCTGTTGCATATTAAAGCAATTCTCACTTGTAGGTTGGCTTTTGTGGGGGGGCAGGCAGTTACATGTAGCCAAGTAGTATATGAGAAATTCTTTAAAGCATTCTAGGCAGGATGAGTGGTTTTGGGGGTGAGGAGGGGATAGATGTGTCTGATTACGGCTTTCTTCTCTTTCATAGAGAAAAGAACACCTGCAACCTCACTTAAGATATTTTAATTTCAAAACCGCTAAAGAGAGAGCAAAAATGGTTTCCTGGGAAAAAAGGCAGATCGTATTTTGAAGAACGGGTGTATATTTTAGAATCAGAGACTTGACAGCAGCCTTAAATCTCATTTTGGAAGAGCACTCTGGTTTCTTCCCCTGATGACTCTTATGGAAATCTATATTGTTCCATGACCCTTTTAGCCTAAGAGGTCAAGATAGCAACCATTTTTCTGTCAAAATCCTGGATGCACGCTGGTGCTGATTAAGGTTAGGTTAAGGCTGTAAACCTTCACATACAGCCCACACTGGAATCAAGCTCTGGCACCCCCAGTGTGATAGGCTTGATGCCACAACCCACAGTGAGTAAATTGAATGCAGTTAAAATATTCTGTTTGCCCTTGTGTTGAAAAGGAACTATAAAAATACTGGTATTAACCATCTGCTGTGGTTAATTTTTAGCAAATGGTTTAATGTGTAATGTTAATGTTGCAATTCCCATAGCGCACAAAGTGAAATATCTTCCACTGTTAGTTAAAATAAACTGTTCAAAACTGTATCTTCTAATCAAATCTAACAACCTTTGTTATAACATTTGTTCCAGAATGTGCAAAAGCAGGCTCAAAAACCAGAATTTGCTGTTCACAAATAGTAGCAGAAAGATATCAGCTATCTAATTAGTAGACCAAAGTCTGTTCTTGCCTCAGATAACTTCATTGGGGATGCACAGGTATAAATAAGGGCAGAACTATATCTGAAGTTTACTGTACAATATTTTCATAATGTTGATGTGTAAACACTAGGGCTAATCAAAAATGAGAATTTCTCATGGAAAATTCTGATATTTCAACTTTTTGATCCAAATCAGGATAAAGGGTCAAAATATTGAAACTTTTCTTTCACAGAACAAAATGCTGTAAAAGTTTAATTTTGAAATTCATTGTTTAGAAATCTTCAATCAAAGCAAAACATTTGGACACTTCTGACTTGGAACATTTCATTTTGGCTCAGTTAATCATTGAACAGCATTTGTCTGAACTGCTGTGGGTTGCCTCAGTGGAGTTGTAGGTCAGGTGCTTCATGTCTCTATTCTCCGGTAGGGGGCAAGGCTGTCCAGTCAGAATACCACTCCCATGGGTCACTGCAGCAGTTAAATCAAAGAGCCGTGATAGAGTCCTGCACATAGAGGAGAATGGCGGGGGGGGCATAAGATACCAGGGCAGATCAGGCAAACAAAATTAAACATTCGTTTGGTTCCACAAACCAAAATATTTTATTTGGGGTTGATAATTTTTGATTTACCTGAAGGACATTTGAAGACTGCATTTTTACATTGATTGAAAATTCCCGATCAGCTCTAGTAAATATTTTTTTTTCTTCCTGATTGTGTTTGACATTTAAAAAAAAAATCAGTGGAAAACCTGAAGACATCAGGTTATGCAAGTGTCATCTTAATGTTTGTGTACATTATCAATTTCTCAATTTCTTTTGAAATAGCCTTGCTTTAATTTAAAAAACTATTTAGATACTGTGTAGAGCCATAGAAAAATTAACATGGCAAGAACAAATTATAGTGGCAGTAATATTAAGACTTCAAGAAAATAATTTTAGACTAAACTTAAACAGAGCCCATGAATTGAATCAGGCCTGCATAATATATGTATATGTTCTGCATGGCATGTTTCAATTCTTAGCTTTTTTTTAAAGTTTCTAGCCCTCAGGGGCATGAAGAATATACATTCTGAATGTGACCTGAGTGTAAAGTGATCTTCTTGAGTGTGCAGACAGCATGAATCAACTACTCTAAAAGGTGTGAACCCCTCGCCTCCCACTAATCTCTTTTGGATATTAACGCTGAAGCCTAACACCACTTTAGCAAAGGAACCTAAGGGATTTAGATGCCCAATCCCCCTAGAATTTTAATGGGATTTGGGAACCTGAACACTGTAGGCTGAGATTTTAAGGAATCTAAATGTATCAGCACTAACTATTTCATTGCTTATTTTAGCAGTGAAATTGGGTGAACTGCGAGTTACTATAGAGAGGGACATGCATAGAAAAAACAAAGGCAGGGAAGAGGTAGAGAAACAGAGGGATAGGGAAGGAAGAGAAAAATAGCAGTGGGCCTAAAAGGAAGCCGTTTTCACTGAGTGATGCTGAATGTGACAAGGAATTGAACAAAGAACAAAAATCTTAGCTATTCCATAAAGATCATAATACTCTACCCTCAATCTTTGTGCAAACTTTCCTTTGACATCAGTGGGCATTCAGCTAAGGTTTGAGGAAAGCATGTCATCCTAAATGTTTACTTTGTGCCCAACAAAAATGAAACTTGATCCTGTCCAAAGAGTAAGTTTGATACCTCCTGTTTTAGACCAGTAATTTTGGCCCACTTTGGGGAAGGATCTGCTTTCACCTGTCATGCTATGATGATCTTGTGCTAAGTGCTGTACTTTCTGCTGGGCAAAAGCTGCTCCTAATAGGGTACCCATTTCCCAGGCAGGAAGAGTTAACTGTTACCTGGAAGCAGCTGATCCCACAGCTGCAGAGTCCTGCATGTAGATTTTATAAACTCCACACTTGCAGAACTGGTTGTTACCTGATGGTTGCTCTTTTGTCCAGTCTGTTCTCTTCCCATCTCTCTGCCTTTATACATTAACGGTATACTTGGCTTACGAATAGGTCAATGACTAAGAATTTTTATCTTCTAAATCAGAGGAGTCATTTTATAAGATTACATAAAGTATGCAAAATTCAATAAAAGCTAACACATGCAATCACAGACTAAGAAAAAAATCTTCATTCAAATAAAACTTAAAAGTTGCATAAATCTACAGTTTAATCTGAGCAAGCAGAACTCCCTAAACCAATGGGGAATTTGCCTAATAATCAGCAGCATGATATGTCTCTATTTTGTTAGCCACAATACTGTCTCCAGCAAATCTTCAAATCAAGAGAAACAAACTTAAATTATTTGAGAGCATCAAGAAATACATCTGGGAGACATGGATTGCTTTTTAATGTACCTGTAGAGGAAAATCTTTAGGAAACTCTTATGGGAGACAGCACAAGCATTTTGCCAAATAATTTTTAAAAAGCTTTGACACTTTTAGTAGAGATAAAAGCTGAAAAATAACCAGCTTGTGTGTCTTGGGATACAATATAAAATTCAGAAGAGAATTTGTACCTGCTTGCGAGACTAGTTTAATGAAACAGAAAAAACACTAAAATAAGAAATTACAGTGCTAAAGTGAGAAATATAATTAGGTACTTGGCACATTAATATGCTGCAAATTTTTGAAACAAACTTTAAGTGATCTGGTCATAGAGTCAAATACATCATTCTCCTTAGCTCCCACTCATGTAAATAAGATACCCTGACTTTGATAGTGATTCCCACTTTGCTTTAT